CTCCTTCAAGCAATTACAAAACAGTGTAATCATTCATTATATAGCACCATACAAATATACTTCAAAAAGCACAGAAACATCAGGTTTCTAATGTGCTGCAATGCAAAATTAATTTCTTTCTTGCTGAGGCACCTGCTGTTATGTGGAACACCTGGCTACTGATCCCTTTGGCAGGGTGAGGAGGAAGATTCAGAAATCGTGCTATTCGAGAAACAATTCATGGCAACATATTGGGGTTTTTTTAAGTCTTTTCTAAGCAAGACTTGAGCCTACCTAGCATTTGGGTTCAAATCTACTATGTGTTTTTCTGTACATGTAGAAACAGGACAAATCAGTTCATTCATACACCTGTTGCCGTGATTTCCTGACAATTGGCCAGCACAGCTAAGAGAACAGTACAAAAACCTGGTTGGAGAACAGACATGGATGATTTGACCTGCCTTGCTCTCATACTCCCCTGTCTCACAACTCTTTGGAAATAGGATCATTGCTTTAGAAGGGTTTAGGGATGTGTTTTTAGAAGTGAGACAAGCTTTGAATGTGTAGTTATATCTAGCATGAAAAAAATGCAGATAGACAGATAGATAGATAGACAGATAGAGATAGATAGATAGATAGATAGATAGATAGATAGATAGATAGATAGATAGATACATAGATACATAGATACATAGATACATAGATAGATGGATGAGCCCAAAAGCTGGTCTGTTTTCCAACACTAGTTGTTCTGACAAAAGGTATCACTCCTCCCTATGACCTAGAACCTCAGTGTTCTTCATGTACCTTTGCACATTGCTTCCGCAGCTTCACTGTTCATGCCGTTGGCTTCACGTGACCTACAGAGAGGTAGGGATAAGGTAACAGAATAGTGAACATGAGACTTAGCAAAGCATCATTTGAGGTTCTCTTCAGAGCATGTAACTCCTGTGTTAGTGAAATATCTATTTAATGCTTTCGTAACCTGACTGTAATCAGCTAAAGGATGTCACATCCACCTCAACTCAGAATAATAGGTTTTCTTGATATAACTTATTTCCACATTGTCACTCTAACACATGTGTTTTATTTCTCAAACAGAGAATTATTATAATGATCAGCTTTCACATTCCCTTCAAACAAACATTCAGTAAATCCACATTCTATGTATTTCCATTTCTTCTTTGTTTCCTTCCCAAGTGTCTAGCTATTAAAACAATAATGGGTAATTTTGACTTTTCCACTAGTGTTTCATCCTTCACCACCAGCCATTTTCAGAGTAAAAATAACATTAGTGTCATAACTTCATAACTTGCTTCAAAATTAAAATGATGAACTAGCCACTGTACGAATAGTAACAACAATAATAATAAATACCATTATTTGCCTTTTCCTCCCATCAACAAGTTGATTGCTGAAGAACTTCTCAGATGAACCCAAGTAAACCTCACTCACCAAATGCCTCATCTTGCTCCCAGAATCACACTATCGAGTTGTGCAGGGAAGACTGCAGCTAGGTGGCAGTGTGCCAAAAAGAGGAATCAATTTAAAGAAGTGGCTCTTAAATAACATGAAAACCCAAGTAAAAATGTATTAATACCACATAACCCCCCCAAAACACTGTAAATGGGAAGCTGCAGCCATATGGTAAATTGTGGCAGGGTTTTAGGAGTAATCGCTCCCCATTTCTGGTTCTGGCATTGATGAACACAGAGCAGAAATTGGGACATTTGCCTTGGTCTTAAGAACACTGTATAGCTTAATGGTGTTATGAAGACATGTGCTAGTTTAAAATCCTCACTGAATCAGGCTACAGATATGATGTAAATGGATGTACTGTATACATATATGGACAGATAAATACGGCATCAAATATATAAATAATAATATAAATAAACTTCTGCTTAACAGACAAAAATCCTACCAAGTGATAGACCTCGGAAGACACACACACAATGCCCCCCGGGCCAGCCTAACCACAGGCTTCCACTGCCTCCTAGGCACTTACCCACCTTCCATGGAGAGGAAAGGGGGAAAGAGGCCCCGTTCAGCTGTAACCTCTCTTATCTTTTCCTGCTGCTCTTCTTGCTTTGGCACTGCTTGGGATGGTCTTTGATGCAGCACGGCTGCTTACTTTTCTAGTATAGGATCTGCTGCCATTCCTGTTTTAGACTTAATTTTGGATGGGGAAACTGCTCATTTCAGCATGCAGCATAAATTTCTATTCAGAAGTGCTTTGGCTGCATCTTTATTTAATCAGTTAATCCAGTTTAAACTTAAAAAAAGAAAGAAAAAGAAGAGTAGTGGCAAATACTTTGGATACCTGACTTTCCTTTTACAGTCCTGTATTTCAAAATTCAGTTTTCACTTAAAGTCTAAAATCTGCTATGCTGTGATTCCCAATCTGCTTAAAAAACACAGATTTAACGTTTAACTAATGTATGTTCTTGTAAAAAAATACTTTTTTTTTGAGTGCTAACAATTCATAACCCGACTTATCGTTTTATCACCATGCAGTGTTTCATTCACTTATCTTTTACACGGATACATCTTGGATCAGAGGGTTGTTACACTGCACATCACGTTCAGAAGAAGGTGCCTGAGCTTCGCACTGCGTACGTGTCCAGCGAGGAGACACGGGAGAGCTCTGCTGACGGCCTTGTGGTTTTTCTCACTTCCCTGGTGGAAGCCAGTGGAGGCTGTACCATGGATTTCATTCCCAGTGACCAGGATATTTTGCCGAGATGTCAGAAACTGCAGAGAATCTCGCAGCCCCGACGACCATTTGGAACAGTAACAGCACCTCCCAGAGACACCCCCCCGACGAGCACGTTTTACCTTTTCTCTTTGCAGGGAACCAGGGACTTCTGAGAAACATGCAAAGGAAGCAACTGTGAAGCCTAATTCAAATGTACAAAGGCAGGAATTATCAAATATCCATTCCTATGACATCCTTCTTTTAATCTTCAAGCTGGTTGTCTTTCAAAAAAAAATGCATTAAGTAAAATCAAGGTACATTTCATATTTCAAAGAAAGTCACTAGCTAAACAAACATATTAATGCAAAATAAACATGCTCAGAGGAGGATCTTTTTAGTTAACCCCTCACAGCTAATTAATTTCTGTCTGTGTAACTTAAAATATCTCGTGTAATGCTGATTAAGTCCTCAGCAGAAAATGAACAAGGCAAACAGCATACACCATGCCCTCTAGAACAAACAAAATGTGTGTTTAATGGCCTCAGGTTGCATAAATACTGTTTTGCTACAGTTATGAAAAAATATTTACTTATTTATTAACTATAATTATTCAGGTGTCTTTTGGAAAAACGTACTAATATGACTCCAATGTCGTGCAGTTCAGAACTATTTTGTGCTAAAAGAAATGCAGTTTATTAAACCGTTAGCATGCACCTATTCAGCACAGCGTACAACTTCTCAGAACATGATTAAATCAGTGACAGGAGTGTTGCTGCCTCACAGAGGTATCGCAGAGGTGTAAGCCAGAGGGTTTTGGCAAAACAGGTCTCCTGGACAGCTATCGTGGTACATAAAAGCTCTGAGTCCTGAGTTTGGGTTTCCCCCCAACCATTTTTTCCTGACGATCGGTGCTTCCAAGCATTGCATTTACTAGCTCGGGATAAGCTGGTGCTGGAGGAAAGTCTCCTGGCAACCCCTTGGGCCTGGATTAACAAAACATCCTCGCCTGTCTGACCAGCAAGGCAGCCCACTCCCTTCGTGCAAGCGCTTGGTCTCCTCTACCGGATCCTTCTGTTGCTCAGATTCCATCAAATGATGGACCAGACGTGGGAACAGGGTGATATATATTGAGATGCATTTTGCTGACTTTTCATCAGACTAAGGGAGACTATAGCAGCAAATCTTTAGCTAATAGTCTCCAGTGCATACTCAGGAGCCTGATCGATCACTTTAAACAGGAATTAGACAGGGTCTTGACCATTAAACTGGGAGATAGTCACGTCTGGGGCTTGTGGTATGTGCAAAATTTGCTTGCACTGGGAAATCACCTAGGGAAGAAGAAAAAAATAGTTTAAAAAAACTCCTCCATCCTCACCTTTCCCTCCCCAAAGGCTTCAGTGTCCTCGGCCACAGAGGTGTCGCACGGAGGGCTCTTTCCACCTGAGAGGAGGAAACCTCTGTAGAGGTGCTGAGTGTGGAGGGACAGGAGCTTCCAGGGGCAGCTTTGCTGCAAGGTTTCCCTTCCCCTTCTCCCCTTTCAGAAAGCTGCTGCCTGCTGGCAAGCCTGAGACCGAACCGACCAAGGGAAAAGCAAAAATAAAAGCGGATCGCAGGCGACGACCGCGCGCGGTGCGGTCTGCAGCGCGGGCTGCCCACGGGCGGCAGGTTTCCCGCCTCTTGTCCCCGCGTGCACACGGAGCCAACATCGCTATCGGATTGTGCCTTTTTATTTGTTTATTTTCAGTCCCTTTCAGCCCCGAAGCGCGCCCGACGCCAGCGGCACCTTGAGGCGCCGCCGCCCCAACGGCCACCCGGCCCCAACGGTCGCTCCCGTTCAAACCCGCAGCGGCGGCGGGCGGGGCGGGGTGGAGTGGGGGGGAGGCGGGGGGCGCCGGCCGCGCGGGGCCGCCGCCTTCCAGAAGGCTCCGTCGCGCGGCGCCCCCGCGCCCGGCGGGCGGGAAGGCGGGAAGGGAGGCGGGAGGCGCCTGCCCCCCCGGCCGCGGCGCGGGCAGGGCCGGGGCGCTGCGGCGGGCAAGGCCGGGGCGGCGTCAGCGGGCGCGCGGTGCCGGCTGCAGGGCTTTAAAGCAGCGCGTAAGCCGAGATGCTACCACAGACAGCGGCGGCCGCAGCAGCAGCAGCAGCAGCTCCGCGGCGGGCGCCCCCACGGGCATGCGAGCGGCCGCCGCGCGGCTGTAGGCGAGCCCCGCCATGGAGACGGCGTGCGCCTTGGTGCTGCTGGCGCTGCTGGCGGTGCCGCCGGGGCTGCGGCGGGGCGCGCGGGGCGGCGCGCAGCGCCCGCGCGGCTGCCCGGCGCCGTGCCGCTGCGAGCCCGAGGGCGCGCTGCTCCGCGCCGACTGCTCCGACCTGGGGCTCGCCGCCGTGCCCGCCAACCTCAGCGCCCGCACCGCCTACCTGTAAGTGCGGGCCCCGCGCGGGCGGCCCCCGCGCCCGCAGCAGCCCCTAATCGCTTCGCCGTCAGCGCGCGGGCTGTAAAGCGTTTATGGGCGCCTCGCTATCGAGGGGGCCGCCGTGTGAAGTGCCGGGCGGAGGGTCATTAAGGGCGGTTGCAACAGCGCAGCCTTGATGAGACCCGCGGGGACGTTACCTCCGCCCTTGCTCCCCCCGCCACGGGGCTTTGAACCGCGATTTAATCTTTAACAGATCCCCCCCGGGTGCGGGGCTTGAGCGGCGGGGAGGCAGCAAAGACGGCGAGTGCCGGCGGGGCAGGTGGCTGCGGGGCCGCGCCGGCCGCACGGGGAAGTTCAGCCCCGTCTTTCCCTTCATCTTTAGACCGTGCGTTGATCCCGACCCATGTCGGGATGCGGCTGCCCTGCCCGGCTGCGCGATGCGGCCGCCCCGCAGCCCAGAGGGGCGCGGCGGATCCCAGCGGGAAGCCGAGAAACCGGGCACCGAGCTGGGAAGCGCCCTGGGAATGGCCCTGCTAGGAGAGGGACCTGGTGGTGTTGGCCGGGTGGACGCGCACTGCAGCCGCTAACATATGGAGCGGGTAGGGGAGAGCTTGCACTAGTGGAAATTGTGTGTTTGGAAAGGTGATATGCAACTGAGAAACTTTAAAAGATGCTATAAAAGTACTTTAAAGTGGAGCAGGGTTTTGGCCATATGCAGTAAGGACATGGACTGTAAGACGTACCTCTGAAAGCAGGGGTGAATTTCGTGCAACAGGTGAGGGTTTGGGGTGTGAGGAAGGCGCTTGTGATGCTTTCTGGTGCTTCAGATGGTCATTATCAGAAAAAGAAATCAGTAATCAAATGTTAGACAGCACGGGTGTCTAACAGTAATCAACTCAGCAATCAAAAAATCAAATGAAGTTATGTATTCCAACTTAAACTGTACTTGAGCATGTATCATGAAATAGATGCCACAAATGCGTGGTTTCTTGGAGGAATGCTAAAACCAGCCAGCCTTTTGGGGGACAAGGATTGAACAGTTTTATCAAGAAAGAGAACAGAGATGCCTGGTGGTGCCAAACCATCGCTGCTGCAGACTTCTGCTCCTTAAAAAAGGTTGCTCCAGCAACCTGCTCCTGCACTAGGACAGTGGTCTGCTCCACCTTTGTTCCTAAATCCTCTTGTCCTGAAGCAGCATTTTGACTTGAAGCAGCAAATGGCTTTTTTTTTTTTTTTTTTTTTTTTTTTTTTTTTTTTTTTTTTTTTTTTCCAGTGAAGAATTCCATGCTGTCCAATAGCTCACACTGTGAAGTGTAAAAACTCCCCTGCTTCTGGGATAGGAGGAATTTTCAAGGACCAAAGCTGTGTACGTGCAGTATTCCAGTCAGTGTGTATAGGACTGGTGCACACATACGGGCAACTTCATTTACCCATTTCCAAATGTTCCACACTGTTGTCTTTGGTTTGATTAATTATTGCCTAATTATGCAGAGCTGCAGCTCTCCGTGCCCTCCTTCCATAAAGAACTGTCAAGTCTCATTTTCTTTAGATGGCTAAGCAATGGTAAACTTTAAACTCACTTGTTACAGAGGTGTTTTCCTGCTTGAGAATGATAGTGGCCAACCAGATGCTTCTTGATATAGGTGTTTTTCCAGATATATATATTTTTTTCTTTCCAGCAGAACAGAAATGCCTTTTTCTAGAATGACAATTCTTACTTCAGAGCAATGCAGGAGGTTAAAACTGAGTACTCACACTAGCTCCCTTTCCAACAACAACCAAAAAAATGCTTCTCTGATAGATTCTCTTCTTGTATAATACCCAGTTCTGGCCAGTAGTAGTTTGTGGCACTGCTTTCTGTGAAGCCTAGACTTTATTTTTGTATGTTTTTCTAAATGTCTTTCATCTTATCTGGACACTTGTATAAGAGTTATAAAGATAAGTGATTTCTTGTGAACTGGAAATCATGTGAAAAAAAAAGGGAAAGTCAGTTCAGTTTTGTGTTGTTTGGGAGCAGATGCAAACAGTTCATAGACCATGATATATGATGGTGATTGAATTCTGTGTGTTCTGTTTGATGGTGCTCCTGCAGCAGAGCTAAATGAAATCTGCAGATGGACCTGTTGCACATTTCTGCATTCCCATCTAAATTCCCAGACAGCAATTCTTCCTGCCCATCAGAAATCTTTTTATTTATGTTTACATATGTGCCGCCATGAACTATTATACTCTCTAAGAAAAACAGAAGAGAATCCAGGAGTTTCCTCCCATTCCTCTTTCCTCATTTACTTTTAAGCTAAATAACATACTCTATATATGTAGTTCCTGTTGACATTAATGTGAATTCCATGTGCTGCTGAAGGGCAGCTCTCTGGTTCAAATTAAGACCATGTCACTTTGCTATCAGCGCACAGTGAAAGGAAGAGGCCAGAATCTACTAGTCTTTTGCACATGCGACTCTCGTTACTTCTCCAACCACGCCTGTGAATTAGTGTAAGTGTTATTGCCATTTACTCTGATGTGGAAAACTGAGGCAAAGAATGGCTTGGTCAAACTTAGAGGTAAGTTTATGACAAAGCCAGTAATTAAAGCCAGGATGCCTATTCTAAGTCCATTCCTTAACCACAGGCTCACCCTACTTCTCCTCAATAATTACTCATTAAAAATAACATAAAATTAGTCAGCTCCTATTCAAGTATATTTAATATGACAAGTATTAAAAAAAGCTTTTCCTATCTTATGTGATAACAAAATGAAAGATAATTCTGAAAGATTTTGTGGGTCTTTGTTGCATGCCTCGATAGTGCAGAAAAAGTAAATTTAATTACAAACACCCATGCTGTCTAACAGCTCGAATGTTGTGTTCTTCCTGACAAAAACCTTCAGTGATTTTGACAGTAAGGTTAGCATGGATGTCTAAGTGAAATATTTTCATGATATTACCACCTTAAATTGTCATATGTACATGTGTATCAATATTAGAGCATAGGGTACGTTGCATTCTTAAGGTAATTTACTGAATGAGTTAGTTTGGGATAAGTGCTATTTTTCATTTTAAAAGTTTGATTTGGAATACTTGGTTAATATGAATGGTGCTTGTAACATTTGGAAAAATCCGATTCATATGATTTTTAACTCTCTGTAGAAATAACTTGATAAGAAATTATTTCCAAAACTATGATAACAGTAAAATCTATGAACATGGAGTCACCATATCCTACAAGGTTTTAAACATACTCTTTTTCTAATGAAATTCAGATTTTTGGCTTTCTGCTTCATTTGTTTCTATAACAATGTATTTAATTATTCCTGTAAAGCATACTTGCAGCTTCTAATGTCTTTAAACATTAGAAAATGTTTGAGAGGAATAAAAAAAAAAGATACAAAAGAAGTAATATTTGCATTTTTTATATATTTACTTTTTGAAGGTAAAAAACCACATTTTCAGAAATAAACAACATTTCTGAACTAAAAATCAATGGTTTCTGTGTTGTCAGAGGAATGCCCCAAAACATTAAGGTGACTCTTTGTGGAAAATAAACATTATTGTCATCATTCGCCCCAGTCTCACAATTCAAACCCAGTCTTGCCTCCCTCTTCATCCAAGATATGTGGGAAGGATTGCAGGTTTTTTCAGAGATCAAATAGCAAGCGATCCTCTTATGTGGGAGCAAACTATAAGCTTGCAGCTTCCACATCCACTGGTAGGGGGTAGGTGTGAGGTGGCTAGGAAAACACTTGCTTTATATTAGAAAATCCTCCCTTACATAGCTACAAACTTTATGAATCTTTTTTTTTTTTTTTTTTACTTGAAATAATTGATTGCCATTTGGTTTCAATGAATAATATGAATACTGTCCCAGTGATGCATGAAGGTGAATCTGATTTAGGACTTATTGACAATCCGTCTTTTTGAAAGATAAAAAAGGGCAAGTTCCTCTTTGCTATAGGCCATAGAAGGAATATAGAAGTAAAACATATGCATAGATAAATTAGAGGTGCAAAAAATTGAAGAATCCTATTAAACATCCTACTTAAAATACAGACCTTTGACAGTTTTCAAAGAACTTAAATTCCTAATACAATGTATCAACTCAAAGTTTGTGCTCACAAAATGATACATTTTTTCTTAGTAGATGAAAACTGCATGTGAGAAGGGAGTGTCATCCTTTGCACTTGACAATATCAAGTCAAAGGAACAGCTCCTTGCACTGCTTTCTAAAGACACTTGCTCAGGAGGGAAAAACACAGTGCTCACACACACTCTCCCTATCTCTGTGCTGTGGTATTTGCTCTGTGGAAACACTACATAAATGGATATAAACATCAACAAGGAAAGGGAGGTGCATTCAAGGCAGCAGAATGTAAGGAGAAGGGGGGTGAAGGTCCCTTCGGTTTGGTTGGGTATCTGAAGCGCCAAGACCGGACAGCTGGCGGGGCAGAGGGAGCCCGGCTCCAGCTGGGAACGCGTGCTCCGGGCTGACCCGCGCCGCCAGCCTGCCAGCAGAGATTAGGCTCTCCTCAAGCGCTCCCTTGTTAACCCAGGCCTTTCTCCAAGGTCATTTGTCTTTGAAATGCCCAAAATTGCTACCAACTTTGCAGCCCGGCTTGCTTTCTTCTACTCAGGGCTGGTTGGTCAGGGATAATATTTCATCCTCATGCTCTGCCTTATTAATTCTTTATGGATTTTTTTTTTTTTTTTTTTTTTTTTTTTTTTTTTTTTTTTTTTTTTATTATTTTTTTTATTATTATTTCCCCTGTCGGATAGGAATGACACGTTCAATAGCTCGTGGGTTACAGAAACCGTCATATATTTTTGCCTTTTTTTTTTTTTTTTTTTTTGTGAGGGGGTGTATTTTCCCTCACTTACTTCCTTGAAGTGTCTGGTAGATTTGAATTTTTTTTTGTCCTCTGTGAAAATCATGGTGACTAAGGTGTGATTCCTTTGGCTCCGAGTGAACTGATTGGGGACAGAACATGCTGTGGTGTTTTTGACATATTAAATA